GATGGTTGGTTGGTTGGTTAGAATACTAGGAACCTGTGCTGGTCTTCAAAGGGACATTCCTCTGCTCCATATTGTGGTATTCTTTAACAGTAATGATTTCATTTTCATTTTGGGCATACCTGGCAGCAAAAGTCGTCCACCTTGCAGACGACCGAACGTAAAAATGATCACGTGACGCATATGACCAACCAACCAACCAACCATCCGACCGACCGACCGACCGACCGACCAACCAACGAACCAACCAACCAACCATCCGACCGACCGCAGACCAACCAAAAGAAGAATAGGACAGACAATAAAGGGACAATACCAGACTAAAGAATCGCTATATAGAATGCATTATAGTGAACTAATGGCAGCCAGGCTATTAGCCTGCCCACTGTGGGCTATAACTCACCATAACTCGGGTCAGGCCTCACTGGTCTGATGGGAAAGCATTTTTCTCTGCTGAAGGGACATCATTTCATTCACTTCATCTTTATCTGTTTTATCAGTAGTAGATCACACTCAGGTCATTGACCTGTTTTTCTGGTGTCCCTTAGCACAGAAAGCTAGGTTTCAGAAAGAAAGACATGCAAAACTTAGGACTTGGAGATGTTGAGAATCTGATGATGTTTGAGACAATTAAAACTGAATACCAGTCCTATTCTAGTTTAGTTTGCTTATGAAAGCTGTTGTGGTGGTAAGTTGCCTTTGCTTATGCTTAACCAGGCTTCAGGAAGCGGCTGGAAAGATTAGAAATTTGCCAAATAGATTAGACGATATCTAAGGGGAGTTCGTCTGAACTAAGAGAACAGTTTGCTGCTTCCCAAAGCCTGCTAGAGGATAGCCTTTGCTCAGTCATACGTCAGTAGAGAGTTTGTACCACAGTACAGGCCCCTGAAACGGTGCACTTTCTCACCAGAACAACTGAGTTGATGGTATACCACTACTCCTGAGTACAGCACATGGTATCTCTTTATGGGCTGCACTGGATACAAACCATGTCTGTCACATGGAAACCCGCAGTGGAGCCTAACCCTGGGAACTTATCATTACATTAATCACCATGCCTGATTGAATGTCAATTGTGTTACTGTGTTTACTTAGAGATGAACTAGGATGAACAAGCTGATATTTCTTCTCCAAGGACACTGTCTGGTCTCATGATAGACTCCTCATTAAAGCAGTAATATGGTCTGTCGCCTTGGTATTTATGTAATAAAGCTTCAAGGCCAGAAGGTAACATGTTAGGGCATGGTTAATGATGGTGACATTGTTGATTTTTCAACGGACTAGATCATCTATTCTTCTTAGTACTGAAAATCAGCTCAAGGCCCATCCCTGCGTATGTACATGTATACTCAGGTTTTAATGTATGACACTATGATTTCAAGATGCTAGTACCAGAAAATGTTTTTAATCTTCATAATTAAATAATGCTATAAGGGCAGAAGGTAACACGTTAAGACATGGTTAATGATCGTGACGTTGATTTTTCTAGATCAGAGCCAAAGACTGGATCATCTATTCTTCTTATATACTAATATCCAGTTCAAGGCCAAATCCTGCACATGTCTCTATCAGTCAGGGTTTTGAGTCAGCACACAAAGTTAGCCCACTACACCAGCCAAGCGGGGTTTGGAATCAGCTGCCAAATTCGCTTATCCTGACTAGAACTTACACATTGAAATTAAAATTGATTTGTTTTATACACAACTGCCAAGTCCACTAATCCCAGTAAAACCCACACAGGAGACAAACTCTGGACACTCCCACAGTCTGTTACATCAGCAGTTGGTTGAGTGAACTTGAAAGTTTGTTGACACCAGTCACTAGACTGGAAAGTTGATTGCCTCTATTTTGCTGCCTTTAGCTGTGAAAAAGGAAAGCAATTCATTGTCAGACACAGCTGCCAAATGTGCTAATCCTGAGTAAATCTCACACAGGAGACAGACCGTAAAAACTCTCACACTCCGTTACATCAGCAGTTGGTTGAGTGAACTTGAAAGTTCGTTGACACCAGTCACCTATCCTTAGCTATGAAAGAGAAAGTAAATCATTGCCAAGTCTGCTAATCCTGACAAAGACTCACACAGGAGACAGACCATGGAAAGTGGCTGGTTGAGTGAACTTGAGAGTTGGTTGAAACACAGTGTAACTTAATTGTCCTCAAGCAGTTTTGAAATAGAAAGTGATCTATTTTATACACAACTGCCAAGTCTGCTAATCTGACTAAAACTCACACTGGAGACAAACCATTGAAAACTACCCACTAAATCAGACTTCAAGTTCATTGCCTCTATTTTCCTGCCTTTAGCTGTGAATACTGAAATAGAAAGTGATTCATTTTGTACACATAACTGCTAAGTCCACTAATCTGACTAAAACTCACACAGGAGACAGACCATGGGAAGCAGTCGGTTGAGTGAACTTGAGAGTTCGTTGACACCAGTCACCTATCCTTATCTATGAAAGACAAAGTAAATCATTGCCAAGTCCACTTATCCGACTAAAACTCACACAGGAGACAGACCATGGAAAGTGGCTGGTTGAGTGAACTTGAGAGTTCGTTGACGCCACTTTCCGTCTTTGGTGGTAAAACCTTTCATATTTCATTTCTAGCCGCAGCTGCCAACTTGGCCATTATACATTAAGGCCACAACAATAGAATCAATTGTTTCTCAGATTCTCTTTCATTTTTGCTGATTTGCAAAAAAAATTTAAAAAATAAAAACTCAGGTTCTGAATCAACTCCAAAATGCTCTTATTTGACCCCAACATTTGAAGAAAGTCATTGTTTTCATAGTTGTTACAGTTTTTTCAATCTATCAATTGAATGCAGTGTTCAATCAATGCAGTATTGCTATACTGCAAAGGGTGGTTATACTGGCTAATAGTATACAGATGTATGGTTTGATTAAAAGTTCAAATTCATTGTTTAAATTATTAACCAGCCTTTTTCTTGTCAGCCAAATCAGCCAACAAATTGTATAGTCTGCCGAAACAATTAGCTACTAGTACTTTATGTACAGTGAACATATATCACAATATCCTTACTGTCTCCAGTCTACTGAAGTCCAGAGGTGTAACGATTTATCAGAACAAATGGCTACATCTGTCTCGATTATGTTTAAATGTGGCAGACTTCAGTAGTTGATAAAAAGCGCTGCCAGATATGGGTACAAATGGTGGAATGCTAAATGGTTATCAGTACAGCAAGAGAGTGTCAGGGGTAGGGAGAAGCTAGATTTGTCTTCATTATACATTTGTACCTGAGGGAGGCTACGTAATGTGGATTCTATGGAAAACATCACTTAAACTTAAGATTGAAGTGTTTTGTGGTTAGGTTTCTTGACTTAGAATTTAAAAGTTCTAGGCTTGAATCCCTAGAATGTCCCAGTTGTGGTTCTGAATATGAGTCATAGAATCTAAAGGTTCTGGGTTTGGATCCCTAGCAGGCCCCAATGTTGTGCCTTTGGCAAAGGCACTTTACAACTACATGTATTTCCTAGATTCAATAGATAACAGATCCAAACTTGTTTCCCACAGCAACAAAAACAGCACAAAGTCTTACTTTGACAGTCAAAGTGATGCCCAGCAGTGTGTTTTTTTATGTGTTTATTGTAAGTTTCTTTTATATTCAATTTACAGGTTGCTGCACCTTGGTGTCTCGGCCATCACCTGTTATCTCCACGCCTGCCGCCACACCAACGAGTCAAAGTGCCGGAAGTACCTGGCCTGATGTTTGATTGACAGACAGTAAATTGTGATTGACAGGTGTTTTATATTTGATTGACAGGTTTATTGACAGTTGTTCTATGTTTGATTGACAGGTTGCTACACCTGGGCGTGTCAGCCATAACCTGTTACCTCCACGCCTGCCGCCACACCAACGAGTCAAAGTGCCGGAAGTACCTTGCCAAGGTCATCTGGCTGCTGACGTACGACGACGACAAGGGCACGCTGGCCGAGGCCGTCGACAAGTACTGCGTCGGGGTGCCGCACGTACAGTGGTTGCCATGGTAATGGGATAGTTTTACTTCTGATCATTCAATTGCTTTTTATTGTTTTTGCTCTGTTTTTACTTATTCCATGTCAAACAAAAAAGGTTAATGACCTGAACCAGACATCTGTCACCATGGTAACTGTAGCAGACACCCTGTTACTGCATCGGCGTGTCACATGTGCAGTGGTTGCTATGGTAACCAGAGAGTTTTACCTCATTTCATCCTTTCAGAAAATCTGTGTTGGTAGAACTTTTGATCCAACAGAACAAAGTTCTCTCACCTAGAGCTTTCGACCAGTCACTCTGGTCTTCCTCAGTAGACTGACCCAGTGAGGCTTGTCATTGTTGACTTCACACTTCAAAGAAGCCACGTGACAAGCCTCACAGGGTCAGTCTACTGAGGAAGACCAGAGTGACTGGTCAAAAGCTCTAGGTGAGAGAATTTCTCTCTAAACATAATCATTTGATCCGTCATTAATCTTCATAAATCCTGATGACTTGAGGTGAAATGTATTTAACATTCCATATGGTTGATGATTTTTTAGAAAATGGTTCTTGAAATAATTGTCTCAAGACTGTTCTGACAAGTACCTGCCAGTCTGACCTCCCTGACTGGTGAGCTTTGTCCTCTGACATGTAACCTCTGACCTGCCCTTCCCAGGATTCCCCAGCTGCTGACCTGCCTGATTCGTAACGAAGGAAAGACGATCCTGAACCTGCTGAGCCAGGTGGGCAGGGTCTACCCTCAGGTGAGAAACCCTCTCTCATTGGTCAACAGGTGACATTACACAGTTAGGCAACCAATCATAACACTGCTCTATGAGAAACCTTCCTTCATTGGTCAACAGGTGGTACTAGTATTTGAAAGTTAGTAATACAGTTCAGATTACTACAGGGTCTACCCCCAGGTGAGAAACCCTCTCTCATTGGTCAACGGGTGAGATTTTATAGCTAGTCATCCAATCAGAAAACTGCTCTCATTGGTCAAAAGTTAGTATTTGCATCCAATGACAAAGCTGCAGAGTCTACCCCCAGGTGAGAAACCTTCTCTCATTGGTCAACATGTGGTATTTCATAGTAAGATAACCAATCAGAAAGCTGCAGTGTCTGCCCACAGATGAGAAACCTTCTCTAATTGGTCAAAAGTTATTATTCACATCCACAAAGCTGCAGTGACCACCCACAGATGAGAAACCTTCTCTCATTGGTCAATAGTTAGCACTCACAACCAATCACAAAGCTGCAGTGTCCACTTGCAAATGAGAGCCCCTCTGTTATTGGTCAATAGTTAGCATTCACCCCCAATCACAAAGCTAGTGTCCACCCACAGATGGTAGCCCCTCTTTCATTGGTCAACAGTTAGCATTCACAGCCAATCTTAGTCCTGTTGCCAAGCATGGCTAAAAGAAACTTTAAGATGAAAGCTCAGATTTTATTCTTCAGAGTACCTCAAGTTTAAGACAAATGTTTACTAGAAGAAACTACGTGAGAAAAGAGAGATACGGGCAAAGATTTTACAGAAGAGGCTTTTTATCTTGTGTAAAACCACAGACTGTGAAATTATAGTTTTTACCAGTTGTCCACATAAATGATAGGCTGATAGTTACAGCCATATTTCATACTGTTATATAATCATAGGATATCATTAGTTATAGTAAGACCTTTACCTTTAAAAGTATTGTGCTTTACCTTAGTAGAGAATGGCAAAAGAAGAGGAAAGTACTAGGGGCATAGATACTAGATACTAGTTGCATTAAACAACACTAAGTTACAATATAAGTTTTGCAGTTACATGTGCAAAGGTTCTGTGTGACAGGTTGTTCAGTGTTATATAACTACTATTCTGTGTGCATACAAATCTAGTATGTTACATTGACGGGTGGTGAATATTTTTCAGGTACAGATGCAACATTGATAAAGATACAGACTTTATAGGAAGCGTTTGTTTCATTAGTAAACCAACAAATAACAGCGTTTTATGACTGTTTTTTACTACATGTAGCAGTTTTTATAAATAATAGACTGGAACAGCCACATTTCATAATTTCAGAGTTTAATTAGCCATTTTTATGGGTAAGAGTTGTCTTTACAGTAAGAGATTTTATGCCTTTTCACGGTTAAGTTGAAGATAATGATAGGCTGTCTTCAACTTTACTGTGAAACACAGCAGAGCATGTTATAGTTGTCACAATTGCACATATGAATAATAGGCTGTTGCAAGCATCCCTCTTTGCTACAATGTAACAGTGTTGTTAAATCATGTTGCTACAATGTTGTTAAAGTTGTGACAACATTTTTGGAGTTTTACAGAATGATGTTGTAAAAAGTTGTGACAATGTTATCAAAAGGTGTAAAATGATGTTGATGAAATGTAAGAATGTTGTTAAAAGTTGCTACAATGCTGTTAAAAATTGCAACAATGTTGTTAAAAGTTGTAACAATGTTTCCCTTCGCTACAGGCTGTGTACTTCCCCATCCGGACCATGTACCTCACCCTGAAGATCGAACAACGGGAACGCTGTAAGTAAACAAACAACAACAAAGTAAATAAAAACAAATAAATAATAAACAAACCTGGCGGCAAAATGCCTGACTGTCTCACACGCAAATTTTGACAAAGAGTCTTCTAGATCTGTTTGTAACTTCATGTAAAATACAGATGGAAACTGATACATTGTGTCAAACTCTTCTTGCTACAGGCTGGGTTTAGTTTATGCTTCCTGTTACTCAAAATACCTCCAATTCTCAGCACCAAACCACAAAAGACCCAACATGGTGTCAAAGGCAATTAAATCTGCTCCCATCCATACAACAGACTGAAGAAAGTTAAAACACAGAGAACCTTACCTTGACCCTATCTGTCCTGAACCCTCTGACTTCCCACATAACATCCCAGTAATGGTTTTCGGCTCCCAAAAGTGCCAACCGACGGCGGTTACCACATTTGACTTCCAGTGTCTTTGCAACATTGTGCCAAAAGCTATAAAATCCTGTCAAATAGCTTGAAAGTTCATCAAGTGTTGGTAGAAGTCAAAATGATTGTGAAATAAGTCACACAAAATGGCTCTGACTTGGTACTACTTAAAAAGACACTTAAAATACTCCAAATTCTATGTCACACATCATGAAATCCCCAGTGTCTTTGCAACATTGTGGCAAAAGCTGTTAAAACCTGTTCCCATCCAGACAACAGAAGAAAGTTAAAACACAGAGAACCTTGCCTTGACCCTATCTGCCCTTAAAACTCAGTAATGGTTTTCGGCTCCCAAAAGTGCCGACCGGCGGTGTTTACCGCGTTTGACTGCCGGCAATTTCTAGCTTTTACTGACTCCGTAGCAGCTCAATAAGAGTCTGTTGGGAAATTGCTACAAGATGGTTACTCTCTGGTTATTTGTGGCAAAACTGTCAGAAAACAGATGTGCATGTACCCCAATGAGACCACCAGGAAAGGTTTACAGCCTAACTGTCTGTGTAAACTGAAGCTACTCTCTATTAATTGGCATGGTCACATATATTTTAGGTCATCATGCAATTTTGATGCTGTAGTCTTTTCAATCAGTGTCTGCTGAAAATTGCTTGGAGATTGTTACTCTCTGGTCATTTGTGGCAAAACTGTCAGAAAACAGATGTACAACACCAAGACAGACAGATTTTAGGGCTGATAGGGTCAAGGCATTTTCTTCAGTGTGTTTTAACTTTCTTCTATAATTGTATGGATGGGAATAGGATTTGATAGCTTTTGCCACCATGTTGGGTCTTTTGTGGTTTGACACTGAGAATTGTGGATATTTTGAGTAACAGGAAGCATAAACTAAACCCATTCTGTGAAAACTGAGGGATCAGGGCAGATAGGGTCAAGGCAAGGTTCTCAGTGTTTTAACTGATGTATGGTTGGAAACAGGCTTTAATAGTTTTTGCCACAATGTTGTAAAAACACTGTTTCTTTTTTTTGTTTGACACTGAGAATTGAGGATTGAGAAGATATTTTGAGACCAGGAAACATTTTGTTTCAAACCTGTTTTATAATCATTTTCAATGACTTCTACCAACACAGATGAACTTTCAAGCCATTTGATAGGATTTAATAGCTTTTGGCACAATGTTGGCACTTTTGGGAGCTGAAAACCATTACTGGGATGTAATTTTGGAAGACTTAGGGTTCAGGGCAGATAGGGTCAAGGCAAGGTTCTCTCTGATTTAACTTTCTTCTGTTGTTGTATGGATGGGATGTGAACAGGCTTTAATAGCTTTTGGCACAATGTTAAAACGTTGTAAAGACACTAGGGGTTTTGTGGTTTGACACTCAGTAAAATGGGGGATATTTTAAACACCAAGAAACAATCCTAATCCATCCTTCACCCTACATGCCCTTACACATCTGCCTGGTTGTTAAACCACACATGTACATGTGAACTGCTCAGTAATGGTTCACGGCGCCCAAAATTGGCTTCAGAGCTTTAAATCTAAATGGTTCGCAGCACTTTAATAAAATGCTTCCCAGCACTTGAATAACAAAATTCTCCATAGACTGAAATTCCTGAGTTTTTGCCAGTAGACTCTAACTCCCAAACCTCTGAGCTACCAGTTTTAAACATGAACTCTACAGTTCAAACATAGTGGTTCCCACCTCTCAAAATTGGATTCAAAGCTTTAAAGTAAAACGGTTCGCAGCACAAAATATAATAAAACGCTTCCAGCACTTGAATAACAATATTCTCCATAGACTGAAATTCCTCAGTTTTTACCAGTAGACCCCAACTCCCAAACCTCTGAGCTACCAGTTTTAAACATGAACTGTATGGTTGTAACGTAGCGGTTCATACCTCTCAAAATTGGCTTCAAAGCTTTAAAGTAAAAAATAATGGTTCACAGCACTTAAATAAAATGCTTCCCAGCACTTGAATAAGGAATTCTCCGTAGACCGTATTCCTGAGTTTTTGCCAGTAGACCCAAACTCCTAAACGTCTCAGATGTAGGTTTAAACATTCAAACCAGACAGAAAAGGTCCACACCTCTCAAAATTGGCTTCAAAGCTCTAAATTAAAAGTAAAATTCTTCCCAGCACTTAAATGGCAATTCTCCAAATAAAATTCCCCAGTCGATGCACAACTTGTGCCAGGGGTCTTGCTCACACCATCTGCACTGCCAGTTTACATGATATTTTATGAACCTTACAGCTTAAACATGAACCTTACAGTAATGGGTCACGCCTCTCAAAAATGGCTTCAAAGCTTTAGAGTTAATGCTTCCCAGCAGTTAGATAAAGATTCTCTATGGGATAAAATTTCTCCATTTCTGCATAACCTTTGCCAGAAGACCTTATAACACTCCCCAACATCTGGAATGCCAGTTAACATAGTATACGAACCCCACAGTTACAATTTGCAATGGGTCACGCCTCTCAAAAGCGGCTTCATGACTTCAAAGCAAATTGCTTCATAGCGCCTGGAAGTCTTTCAGTTCTCCCAGGATTAAAATTCCCCACAACGTGCTTAAAACACGGAAAGGTCCACAACTCTGGCCATGACCTCAGATGTCCTGAACATTTTAACAGGCTGTTTGAACATTAATAGTCCAAGTTTAATGGTTTGGAGTTCACACAAGTCTTTCATGTTAAATGGTTCACTACCTATTATAAGGCCACACAAGACATTTTGTTGTAAATTACTACAAGACATATTGTTGCAACTATGCTTTTTGGAAGGGGACCCACTGCTTTGTGTATTTTAAAGTGTTTAGAAGCACACCAGTTTTAGCACTAGGGACAGGGCCCATGTAGAATGACAGGCACAAGTTTTATCCAATATTGAAGTGCTGTAAACTTGCCTGCTTTGTTCTCTAACAACCTGACATTAACTGAAAGTAAGGACTATCCATTGTATCTAGTGTGTACAGCAGCGCACTGAGTTCAGCACTAGGGACAGCACCCATATAGAATGGCGTGTATATTTTTTTATCCAACATTGAAGTGCTGTAAACTTACCTGCTTTGTTCTCTAACAACCTGACAGTAACACATGTAGCCTACCATTAGTGCTGCAAGTTAGGACCATCTGTTGTATTCTAGTATGTACAGCAGCACACCAGTTTCAGCACTAGGGACAGAACCCATGTAGTATGACAGGCACATGTTTTATCCAACATTGAAGTGCTCTAAATTCGCCTGCATTGTTCTTAACCCAACAGTAACACATGTGGGCTACCATTAGTGCTGCAAGATCTTTTTTTTTCACATCAGGATTTTTTTTCACATCAGGTTCTTTTTTTCACATCAGGATTTTTTCACATCAGGATCTTTTTTAAGCCAAGATGCCCAAGAAACAATAACTAGGCTTGGAGTGGCTGCAGGTTTGATTTACACATGTATCATCAGCATGTATACCACCCTTTCCTCCAGCCAGGAAAGTGCTGTAAATTCATTCCCACAAAACCCATCTGACTGGAGCGTTCGCCTGCTTTGTTCTCTAACAACCTGACAGTAACACATGTAGGCTGCCATTAGTGCTGCTGTAATGGGCTCACGTGTTGCTCTGCACATTAAACACTGCATACATCACTCTGGCACACAGAGGGAACCAATCTGTAACCATTACATGAGCTGCAGGCCTAGAGGTTGTCTCTTAGCCTTCCAAAACAATAGTAGGGAAGCACAAATTACAATTTTACATTATGATACATGGTAGCTGACTTGATCGGTTTTGCATAGAACGATATTGGTCATCCTACCTTTTTGCATGTTTGCAAACACCCCATTCATGCTTCAAGGTTTCTTCATCACAGCATATCTTTTTGGAAAAAGAATCAAACAAACCAATGTTCCAAGGAGATCACATTAAAGATCACACTTATCAAAAAGAGTAGGGATCCTTCCTGGGGTGAGTGGTTCAAACCTTACAGTCCAGTCTGACACAGCTTCTATACTTACAGTACTGTACAAAGCTGTTCTGTTATAGGTATGCAAAATAAACAGAAACAACTGATAGCATCCAAGTGGCCCAAAAGAAGTCATTGCCCTCGAAAGCAGGACACGCTGCAGGTTTAGGAGTAAATCTTATGGAAAGGTTCGAGATCTAATGACCGCATTCCGTCATCTATAACTATAAAGTCTCCTCTCTTTCTTACAATTTGTGGTGAGGGCTGAGACCACCAGCACTTAAGGCCACAGCAAGTAATTTTTATGGATGAATCCTCCGCAGACTCCAAATCTAATGCGATAGGGCGGAAAAGAAAACAAGATGGGCTAAAAAAACAAGATTCCTACATTTTCAAATTTTTACATCATAAACTTTATTAAACAAGAAATGATACATAAATAGCGGGAAGTTTACTGACAACTATTACAACATCCAGTTGTCACTGAAACAACTTTGAAAAGCTCTGCAAATGGTACCTTCTAGTTTAAAACTTTCTTTCTCGTCCCACAGATAAAAGTGGTGAGGTGGGAGCGGGTGTCCCTCGCACAGCCAGTCCCAGTGTGTCTGGGAAAGCCTCACATCATGGTCCAACTGCATCATCATCCCTGCCTCCTACTACACAACTGGGGGCGTCACTAGCTACTTCCAGCCAGGGGGATCCTGCAGGTAAGCCACCTTCCTACACACCTGCACACACCTGTATCTGCACACACCTGTATACCTTACAGTCACACATATACACTTGCCACACAGCTGGCGCCGCTAGCTACTTCCAGTCAGGGGGATCCTGCAGGTATGTTCCACCTTCTTATACACCTGTGTACACCTATACACACCTGTATACCTGTACACACACCTGTATACCTGCACATAAGTGGGAGCATTGCTTTCAACATCCGGCCAGGTACAATGTAGATCCCACAGGTAAGCCACATTGCTACATACACTTGTACTGAACAGCTTCTTACACCTGTACAACTTCCGACACTTGTACACCTGGGATAGGTGACTTACATACAATCATGTATCTCAAAAATCTTGGTTTGCAAGTTGAAGAGTTGTCTGTTTTAAAGGAACCTTTGCTTGCAACTCCTGTTACAACTACAACAGCCTGGGGCTGATGTCCTAAATGTACATGTAGAGCTTGGGCCTTCATATACAACTATAGGTGTCCTAGAGATTTGTTTTGCAAAGGATTTTTGCTTGGCTTGTCATCTTACACGTAGAAGCTGGGTTGCTGTCTTAGATATGCTGTTATGTCCTTTTTACCGCAAGTTTTTGTGCAAGTTTTTTCCCGTGAATTTATCAGAGGAAATTATCCTTTGAAAGAGCTTCAAGTTCATTGGCCGCAGCATAGTGAAAACCAATCAGATTTTCCCCCCTCCATTCCTTCTCTTGCTTCAGAACATCTTAATCCTGAATTTTAGTAGTAGACACAAGAAGACAGCTATTGCTGATCTGTCTTAGATTTGACTTGCTCCAAGCAAGAGATCAGAACACAATTACGCTTCTCGTTTCTGCTTGGCAATATTTCAACTGATACAGAATCTTTGCTCAGCCTAAGAGCTGTGTTAGGTAATAGACGTTGTAGAAAAACAAGTTAGAACAAGATGAGACAAAGATCTGACAAGCCCTCAAGACAGTCCTTGCCTTCCTTATTACTTCTTGATTCTTTGTCAGATATCTTTGAAGCCCTGAGACGATAGAGAAACAGAGGAAGAAGTTAGTTGATCAATCTTTAAGATTTTGTAGCAAGATGTATAAAACTGTATACCAAGAACACATTTTCTTGCTATGTGGTGAGTGTTTGGGTGATATCTTGCTTGTATTTTGCATGACTGTCATATTTGGTGATAGACACGTGAAAGAGTTTAAAAATTTGCTATTTGAATCAGTTGAGAGAAATCCTGGTATTAGAAAATGATAAACTTTGTAGTGAATTGTGCATATCAAATATGTATAGGACATACAATTGAATCGAAAAGAGATCTACGTCTTCTAATTCTCTTCATTGATGTGCACTTAAAACTTGCACTGAATGTGGCAGATTGCCAAGTCTACTTGTCGAGTGTCTGTATCCAAGGGTTTCTCATTTCTTGATGATAAGTCTGTCGTCTGATTGGAATCTAGTGAAAGTTATCAGCCTAAGGAATCTATAGTGAAAGTTACCAGACTGTAACCAGACGTATCTTGTTACACTTGTTCTAAAATTAGCCCAGAAATCTTGTCTGTTGCTCATTTTGTGCAATAAGAAAAGACAAGATTGACTGATGAGGCTAAGACTAGCCTACAGGTACACTTAGCTTTTGTGTTGGTTTTATTAAAGACATCATCTTGAAACTAACACTTTCAATTTCGTCTAGAGACAAAGAATTTGAATTGGAAATATTTGATATATTGATGTAAGATTACTAAGAAGGAATTTTGTCTGTTGCTCATTTTGTGCAATAAGAAAAGACAAGATTGACTGATGAGGCTAAGACTAGCCTACAGGTACACTTAGCTTTTGTGTTGGGTTTTATTGAAGACATCATCTTGAGACTTTAGCTTTCATCTTGAGACATAGAATCTGAAGTAGGAATACTTGAGAAATGATTGATGTGAGAAGGAAGCTGTCTTGAGCAAATTTCTAAGACTGTCTTGCCTGCAGCTAGACCAGCCTTACAGTGGTTATTTTATCTTAGACACATCATCTTGAGACTCTCACTTTCGTCTTAAGACATCATAGGATCTGAAGGAAAGAGATGATTGATGTGAGAGGATGTCTGGAAAAGATTGTCTAAGACTTGCCTCCAGCTAGACTAGTATTTTATCTTAAGACACGTACACATCATCTTGAGACTTCTACAAGAATCTGAAGTGGGAATACGTCGATGAAGGTTAGACATCCAGGTAATACGATATGCCAAAAAAACAGTTACTCAAGCAACTGGATATGATTTTGAAAACGTCAGACGTTTCAGCTAGTATCCACTAGCTTTCGTATAACAGGAGCTTTCAGACTAATTTGCATCATCTTGTCTTGACTTGTCTGACTTTTGTTCCTTTTTCGACTTCCAAAAATTTGTCTTCACTTTATTTGCATATCAATCAACAGGTTGTGTATATAAACCTCAGGGCTCGAAATACCCGGTGGCGCACTGGCGCGGCGCCACCTGATTTTGCTTGGCGCCACTTATTCCTAAACTCAGGTGGCGCAGCGCGCCACCTATAATTTGCGTGGATCGAGCCGCTAATCGCATGGATCGGGCCCCATTGTCGGCACAATCTTGTGAATTGTCGATGAATTGTCGATCTCGCCATGACGCCACAAAGAAAACGTTCTCATTGGTAGAAAATCAGACACCTCGCTGGCGTTTCACAACACAATTTTCATGTAAACAACTCCGACTGTCCTTGTTTACATGCAAAGCGCGCCGATACAAAATCCTGCCGGCCGCCCGACCGACCGCATGCGACGCTAAGTTTTCGGCGGCTCGGCGGAAAAATAATCCATCCCCAGAAGAAATTTTACGCATGAAAATAACAACTACAACTTGTTTTCGTCGTTATATGAGTTTCTGAGGCCGTAAAATGTTAAAACGGTTGAAATTTGTCGGAAAAAACAGCTCGAAAGACAGAATGAAAATGGCCGACGCTGCTTCCAACAATGTGGTCAAAGGTGAAGATAGCATCCAAGCGTCCAAGATACATGTACTAGTATTACACGCATGAAAAACATTTTTTCGGCAACGACAAATAAAAATTCACTCGTATGTTTAAAAGGTTAATTTGTAAACATTACCGTGAAATTTTCCGAATTTATTGGTTTCTAGTGTCAGAATATAATGTTGTTTCTATGAATGTGCGGTTGGATGCTGTGGGGGCTTTTTACAATTGGGAGAATCAGATATTAAGAGCATGCTTTCTTTCTTTCTTACTTTCTTTATTGAGTGTCTCTAAATTTTTTTTTTAGTATGAGTTTATAGACATAATCACATTTTTATTGTTCAGCTGTGTCAATATGTGATTTTGTTTGGGAAATATGATTGGGTTAAAAGTTTGGTATATATTAATTATGTCCGTAACACCTTAGGAATACTTGCTCCAAGTTCCAGGTAATAAGTACATGTACAATTTGTATAATGTATTTTTCACTTGTTGAACTTGTGGAAGCACCGTTGGCCCCCGGTTAGGGGTCATCTGGGGAACCTATGCCCAATTTTTTTTTAAATCAAGGGAGCTAATACCATTTTTTATTAGATTTTGAAGATTTGTCCGGGGGGTATGTTTATTCCGGGGGGTATGTTTATTTGGCAGATGAGAGTAACATTATCCTTGCGCAAACGAAGAACATGGCGCACGTAACACCACCCGCATAAGTGTGCCGCCATGTAGAGGCGTGGCATTCCCACGGCGGCAGCCCTGTGATGAAGTGATGTAAAGGTGGCATTCTTTATTAAAACATTGTTGTTTGAGAGCTTTTATGTTCTTTACATTACTTTATTTTATAACATAAAACTTAAGTAGTTAACTAGAAGAAAACGTAATAGATATAAGTAGCAGATTTGAAGAAAATGATAACTTGGAAGTGTTGCCACTTGAATACTGATGGCGCCACCTGGCTTTTGACTCAGGTGGCAACATGCGCCACCTGGCTGAAAAAAGTATTTCGAGCCCTGAACCTGCTTTCCCCTCTGGTCTCTCAGTCACTGACGAAAGCTAGTGGATACTAGCTGAAACGTCTGACGTTTTCAAAATCATATCCAGTTGCTTGAGTAACTGTTTTTTTGGCATGAAGTGGGAATACTTGAGAAATGATTGATGCTAGAAGGAAGACATCTTGAGTGGATGTCTAAGACTTGCCTCCAGCTAGACTTGTACCATTGTGTTCTACTGGTCTTGATGTTTATTGATGATGTTGTCTAGAGACCACGTGTCTGATGCATACACTATCAATCTGCCACAGCTTGGTAAAGATTTTCTGGTATTTGAAATGAAACTGACAGCTGATGTTCCTGGTTGATATTAAAATACCCCTAATGATAATTGATGTTTTTCCTTGAAGCAAGTTTGCTAGAATTACTTACTAGGTTCCCATCTATGGTTCGTTTGCCTGATCTATTATAAAATCAATGTGTAAAAAAAGACCAGTCTAATAACTGACAGCTGATCTGATGTTACCATGATGTTCATGGTTGATAATAGATGTTTTTCCTTGAAGCAGTACTGTAGATTGCTATGAATTACTTAGTTCCCATCTGAGGTACAATCGACGGATCTGTTATAAAATCGATGTGCAAAAGAAGACCAGTCTAAAAACTGACAGCTGATATGTTGTTAGCGTGACGTTCCTGGTTGATAATTGATGTTTGCCTTCAAGCATCAGAAATTGATAGTCAAGTTTGCCTGCTTGAAATTTTTCTAATTCGATTTTCAATGTACTTAGCTGAATGTTTCGACTTGACGTCCCTCCTGCGTGAGAACCTGAATCACTGATGAATGCTTGCCTGCAGGCTATATCTTGTCAGCAAAGTTTATCAGTTCTCTTGTATACATGGCTCCCCATCACACGTGACTGTTCGTTTTTGGATTTTTTATTACTGTTAGTATATTTTTCGATTTGACATCCCCCTTGCAAGAGAGTCTCAACTGTTGATGAACATTTTCCATTGTG